CATCGACAAGAAAAAGTACTCTTGATTCAATCAGAATCTAGCTTACATCAAGAACCAAGCCTCTTAATTTAAGCGGATTTCGTTTTGATTCAAGCAAAAATCCGATTGAATCAAGAGTATATTTTCTTGTCAATGTTTTCAAGAGTCTGGACTCTAGATCCAATGTGTTTTTTTTTCCAGTGTTTTTGCAAAATGCAATCCAACAATCAGTCTTATTCAACAATTCCTCAACAAACAAAAATCCACCTTAGGAGACGGAACCAGCAAGTTTACAATACTGTTTTGTCTCCATGTAAACCTGTATTGAATGATCGACTCTTGTCGAACATAGGCAAATCCTAGGGGAGGGCATAGGGGGCACACGCTCTCCCCCCCCTCCCGTTTTCCCGAAAAAAGAAGGAAACAAGAAAGAAATGGGGAACGGAGAAAAAAAGGAGAGACGCTTACATTTGGTAATTATTCATGATGAATTTCCCCAAACTGCATATTAGATGCTTCAAAAATGTGGACATTTTCTGGGTCCGGCCCCTTCCCTCCTCCCTATGACTACCTTGAATTTTTTTCTCCTCTAACACCAGTCCTACAGCACAGATACTATCTTTTTGGCTTGAGATGTTCCTTGGCCTCTCATTTTCTCCTGTGCGGATGGGTATGGGTGAAATATTTTGATAATCAAATTTATAGTTACGTTGTCTTATCGATGATTTTAGCCTCTGCTCTTGTGATACAAAAATTTCGTCGTTAAAAATAATATTATGTAAGTGGCTTTTTTGGTATCTTTATATCAAAATTTCTCTTAGTTCACGGCGGACATATCAAATTCTCAAATCTTACTCATGAGTGAGAAGTTATCGTTCCCCATGTTTGCATTATGAAAGTTCCCACACACCAAAAAACCAAAATCTATCTGAGCCAAATCGGTATGACATTTTGAATGCTAAAATTAAAACAACAGACTTTTTGGCTAGCTGCAACTCCGGATTGTGCTCAAAAACAAGGGATTAACGTCGAAAAATGGCTCCATGCACGGAGAAAAAAACCTCGTGCGTGGGACCCAAAGTTTAAGTCATATGGATCTCAGAAGTTTTCAGATTGAGCATTTGAACACTTTAGATCTAGCTGTCGAGGTTTGGATCACACATCTGAAATTTCAGTTTTTACATCTGAAGTACTTCGGTTTTCACATCCGAAAAACTTCGATTCTCACATCTGAAGTACTTCAGATGTAAGAACTGAAGTACTTTAGATGTAAGAACTGAAGTACTTTAGATGTAAGAACTGAAGTACTTCAGATGTAAGAGCTGAAGTTTCAGATGTCAGACCTGAACTTCGGCAGCTTGACCTTGAGTGTTCAGATGTTCAATCCGAAAACTTCAAAGATCCGTACGGCCTAAACTTCGGGTCCCACGCACGAAGTTTTTTTCTCCGTGTGGCATGGGTGTCTTCATTTTTGCTCCATGTTAATTTTGTCACTAACACCAAGTTCGATGGTGAAAATTATGTCAATCCACGAACAGAAGCCATCAAAACCTCAGTTTTCTAAGAGTGTGAAGTTTTCTCCGAGTCCAGTCGATACTATTCTCCCTGTGCTTTCCTCTGGGAGAGACATCATGTGAAAGAAGGCGATCACCTTGGGCGATCAAACAACGCTGACCTCTGACTCTTAATTTCTACGAGGAATCGTGATGTTTCTCTCGTGGAATATCCCGAGACCCCATGCTCGATTGTAATGCGTGGGAGGATCTGCGTAGTGCGTGCATGCGGGAGCTTTTTACCACGGCCCAGTTACGTGAAAGCGTCTCACGCGGCGCGGCGTCGCGGCGCCTGCGCAGCGAAGACCGCGCCGCGACGCACCGAAGACCGCGCCGCACCGCACCGTTCCGCTCGACGCGATTTTCAGGGCCTCTTGGTCTTCGCGCGTGCCGCCCAGCGGCCCAGCACCGTTGAGCTCACCTCTGGCTGTGGAGTGTGGACTTAGCGGCTGCATTAGTCACGCGGTCCTCGATGCAGTCCAGTTCTGCAGGATTTGCATCCCGGTTCCGTCGTGGAAGTTATCCAGCTAAAATGGGTCACTATGGGTCTGTTACACTTGAGCGCTACAGCCAACCAGACTCTTCATAGGTACAGAGGATCTGGTGCAAGTAACAGTCGCACTAATTATAAGTAGACTTACGTCTCATTCTGTTCGGAGGCAACACTCGATACATGTTGGGAAAACAAGCAACAATCGCATTTTGTTCGAAGTTGTTTTGTGTTGTGGGGGCGGGGCTTATTTTCGCGCGCAAAATTTGGGAACCCCTACAGCAGCATTGTTGTACAACAACTGCAACGTGCTCAGAGGCAAGTCGTCTTTATGTTGTTGCCCGAGACAACGCTGTTTTCTAACCCAAAATTGGAACTAGCTTTCTCGTTGGTTGTTCAGAATCATGCAAAAAAAAAAAGAAAAAAACAGAAACGATTTGTTGCTTTGAACAAAATACGACTTTACCAACGCAAAGTTTTACGCGCAACCTGCGTAATCTTCATAACCCCTTTTCATTTACCGCGTCTGTGGACATGTCTTTTTTAACCGCTAAAAATCCGGGTTTGCCCAGATAGAAGTATAAAATAACTATAAATAGACAAAAAAAATCTCTCAGATGCTCGATAACGATTGAAATCATACCAGAGAAATAGATTGGATGTGGTTTATCTAATCAGGTCAGGTTTTCTTACGTCTCTCTCTCTTGAGCAAAATTAAATGCCGGTGACTGCGAAAAAAAGTGTTCGCGAATGCGGAGACTTTTAAAAATGCGCAATACAGACAATACGCAAATTGGAATTTAAGGAAAATATGAGGGTCTCTCTTGACTACCCAAAACGTGTAGTGGTCCATTGCATATTACCTCCTATCGTCGCTCCTCTGACGTCTCATTTAAATTTCGTCGTGAGCCCCGCTTTTCGCATAACTGTATGCTTTACGGGGCTCATGTGGAAATAAGGATACGCTCTAACGCCAGAGGAGCGACGTTTTATGAGAGAGGCATGTGTCAATGGACCACTTACAAGGACAAGGTACGAATTTAAGCAATCTGATACATGTTTCTTGACCAAAATTTCACGTAGAACACGATTAGCGCAACGAAAATTACTGAAACCAACTCCTAACGAAGATATTAACATTTGTATTTCACATTAGTTACGAGGAATTTGAACTGCCAGCTTACAAGAAACTCAAAGCCCTACGTGAGTCAAATCGCGCACTGCAACGGTTTCAGCACCCTGGTAAAAATTGTCAGTAGAATCTGTGTTCCAAAATACCATAGACCTACAGCCGGCTGTAAGATTTCCAATAGCTTCTATAGCCGGCAACACAATTTATTATAGCCTTTTATAACCGATGACGATTAAGCAACAGCCTGGCGATAAAGTGTATGCTAAACGTTACTAATTACGGATGCTAGGACTTGGTGAGTTTTTGGACTACCGCTCTCGTTTTGGGCCGTAGTATCTTGATTTATTTTGCGAGGAAAGATCCGTACTTTTGATGGATGCCTGCCATTACTAATATATTAGAGCGCCTTCAGTTTCGTATGATGCTGTGCAATACCTCTGGTGTGAAATAGTTGCTTCAAGCGCCGTGGTACGCTGCGACGCGGCGCGGCGGGCGGGCAGCCAGCGCGAAACGCGCACTGGCGCCTACAAACCTAACAGGGATACTTCACGCATTGCGCAATGCGTGAAGTATCCCTGTTAGGTTTGTAGGCGCCAGTGCGCCGCCGCGCGCCGCTCCGCTAGGCTCTAATATTTAATCTCGTGGAGTCAGCGTTTTTCAACTCATGACTTTGAAATGTTTGCACACTCTGTGTGGATTATTCTCATTTCAATTGATGAAAAAAAAAATATGTAGTAAAGGAAAATATAATGTGCGTTTTGTAAATATTAAGGTGATTCCGTACAAGCTTAAGGATTTACAAAGCACACGAATTTCCACACAATTTCTTATAGCCTTTTATAGCCGATGGCGAAAAAGCAACAGCCAGGCGATAAAGTGTAAAGCCCGGCGATAGACCCGGCTGTATAATTTTTTATCGCTTCGTGTAGCCCGGCCGTATAATTTTTTCCACTTTCTACAGCCAGCTTTATGATTTTCTATCGCTTCTTCAGTCAGCTATAAGAACTCCTATGGTATTTTGAAACGCAGCTCCTATCGCAAATTTTTACGAGGGCAATCTTCTTAATCGAGCAATGCTCATTTCTCACCGTGTGTTGTTCAAACTATAAGCAATTTGCTATAGCTGAGCTAAAGCGTCAAGATTGAGGTCGCCAGATTTTTAAATCGCAGAGTCTGTCATGATAAACGTTTAGCGCGCGATGTGAATCACGTAGAGCACTGAGTTTTCATGAGCGGGTGGTTTCAATTCACGCACCAAGAATTATTAAATATCTTCGGAAGGCGTTGATTTCGGTAATTTTCGTTGTGCGCATCGTGTTTTACGTGAAATTATGGTGGAGACACATGTATCAGAATGCTGATGCTGAAATTCGTACCTTTGTCCAATGGTCAATTGTGAAATAAATATTATAGAAAGGTTACTTCAAGAGGTTTTTAAAATAATAGTTTTGTAAATTATGCACTCCGGGCGGATTGTCGAAATTGATAGACAAAGCTGTAGACAAAAAAAAACATAGGGAGTGCGGAGCGATCCTATCGGTTGAAATGGGTGGTTCTTACGGACTGTAAGGGGGTAAATGGTGGACTAATTATTATAGGGTCTCTCGTGGGTTGCAGTTAGATAGTCTATTACCTACCTCCTTCCGTATCTCTTTTTTCTCCTTTGTCTATAGCTTTGCCTATCAATTTCAACATTCAGTCCGCAGAGGAGGAAAAAGGAAGAGATGTGGGGGAAAAGAATTTACATTTTATAAAGATGTATTTATTTATCCTATGAGCTCTATTATGTATTTATTTTTGAGTGTTCGTCTTTCAAACCAGATATACATGTAAGGTTCCTCTAATTTACAGACCCAAACCTAAAAGTGCTTTTATTCAAGTTGTGAAGATCAAGAAGTTACGCCCGGTTTGATTTTCTACATCTAATGATGAAATTTCAGCTTTTTGTTCGTTGAATTTGTTTGTCACTATTTTTCAACCCTGCATAGATAAAATCAGAAATCTATAGCTGAGATGAAACCGTCGACAAAAGCATCACTGTGCCGTTGCCGCAGTCGCGTTATTCTTCATAGCAACTTTGAAGACGCTGCTCTCTTGAGTCGAAATCTGCAGTTGTATTAATATTATCAAATACGTGACGACGCTCGATATTGTCTGAAATAATAAAATGAAAAATTAGTTCCGATTCCATCAGTGGTTACAACGTGATGATTTCTCAATTTTTTAGTCGATCGAACCAATTTTTACGGTTACAGAGCATTGTCGACAGCGCCATAGTATTTCAACCATGTAGTCGCAATTTTAGGCACAAATTAATTAAATTTCAATAAGGATGCATTTAACTTCGAGTGTGTCTTGATGTACTGAGTGACTTTAAATTTTCCTGTCGATGCAACCAGTTTCAATGATTTTTTGTTTTTATAAATTTTATGATTTAATGTGCTCGTGGTACTAGATGACGTGACAAACAGGGCTTTGCCCTAGTCACTCGTAGAAGAAGAAGAGGCCGAATATCCAGGTATGTCACGTGGCCTAATTCTTCCTCATGTTTTACTTCTGTTTTAAGAAAATCTTAGCATGGCAATGCTTTTGAACTTGTTGTGCATCCCCCTTCGATTTTGTAAGAAATAAATCAAATCGGAGTGTTGCTCGATTTTTCTTTTGCAAAATTAAAATAAAAATTGATTGGGAAAAATGCACACTTGAAATATTTGGGTTCTGCGGTTTGTTGAGGAAAAGGATGATAAACTAGCGACAAAAAACATTCATAACAGGAAAAAGCATGATGCGGAATTGCGGCTGAAATATTACGAACTGAAATTAAGGACGTCACGGCCCTACCATCAACTGTTGAAACCAAATGAAAAAGACATCGAAACTCTTTCGTATCTCAATTTCCTTTTATCGTAATTTTAGAAGTTGATAGTAGTGACGTAAAGCGCTCATCACTGCCGTGCTAAGGAAAAACGCCGCATGAACCTTCAGGCGTTGCCAAATTTCCTTTGATAAAACACAAATTTCCTGGTAAACTTATGAATATTTTCCTTCCAATTTTTCAGATAATTTTGTTCGCAATTTTACCTGAAGATCCTGAAAATTTCAAGGAAAAATATTCATAACCTCCCGCAAAAATTAACATTTTATCGAAGGAAATTTGGCAACTCTCGAATGTTCATACACTGGAAAAAAAAACACATTGGATCTAGAGTCCAGACTCATGAAAACATTGACAAGAAAGAGGACTCTTGATTTAAACAGATTTTTGCTTAAATCAAAAGGAAATCCGCTCAAATTAAGAGGCTTGGTTCTTGATTTAAGCTTAAATCGAATTGAATCAAGAGTAATTTTTCTTGTCGATGTTTTTAGAGTCTGGACTCTAGATCCAATGTGTTTTTTCCCCCAGTGTACGGCATTCTTCCTTAGCACGGCAGATCAGACGTCATTCACGTCATGCGTTTTCATTTTTGATATTTTGGCCTCGGTTCCGCCTTGTATTCTTCTCTGTTATGTATTTGTTATGACGAACTGTTCGCCGATTATCTGTGGACGGCCGTCATAACTTGAGCAGCCACGGTTCATCGAGGTAAAATTACGTTAGCAATTAGACACAGCCAGAGTTTCGGCTGGCGGAAGGTATGATCGCACAGTCAGTCGAACTTACGTTGAATAACACGGACAGATCCAGTGGGAAAAATCCGCACGCAGTGAAATTCACTTTCTCGTGTATGAGTTGTAACGAAAAGAGCTGCAACTGAGAGAAAAGAAAAGTGATGAGTTTCCTTCGCTCTGACCATACGCCGGGTCGCCGTTAGGACTTAAGAGCCGTGACGGACGGTAACACGACACAATGACGCCGAATTACACGAATTACTCGCCTCTTATCAGCGGTTGCCAGATTTTTATCACGCAACCGGGGGCCCCGGTATCCCCCGAGCTGCTCTACGGGTGCCCCTACACTGGACTGGAAAAAAAAACACTTTGGATCTAGAGTCCTGACTCTTGAAAACATTGACAAGAAAAAATACTCTTGATTCAGTCAGAATTTTGCTTGAATCAAAACGAAATCCGCTTAAATTAAGAGGCTTGGTTCTTGATTTAAGGTAGATTCTGATTGAATCAAGAGTACTTTTTCTTGTCGATGTTTTTAAGAGTCTGGACTCTATATTCAATGTGTTTTTTTCCAGTGTGGAAAAAAAGGCGTTTGAATCTAGAGTCCAAACTCTAAAAAACTGACAAGAAGAAACAATATTTTGATTCGATCGGATTTTTGCTCGAGTCAAAAGGAAATCCGCTTAAATTGATATCCTCTCGATTTAAGCAAAATCCGATTGAATCAAGAGAATTGTTTCTTGTCAGTTTTTTAGAGTTTGAACTCTAAATTCAAGCGACTTTTTTTTCTAGTGTAGGAGGTTCAATAGGTGAAAAGTTACTTGATTCGAGTAGAAATTTGTTGAAAATTGCAAAGATGGGCTTATCTCGAACTAAGAAGAAATGTGCTTAAATCAAGCAGAGGATCTGTTTTGGATGAACAGAAAAAATGTTGACGATAAGAGCCGCTTCCTTCAAGCAGAGACCTGCTTGATTCAAGTACCTTAACTTTTGTTGATTCAAAAAGAAATCCTCCGAAAGTATATCGAAAGAGTGTAAGAATTCCACACTGAAAAAAAACTCCGGCCGTGGAAACCGGGCTGTTTAAACATACCGTCCTCGTGCCGGGCTCAGAGACCAAAAGTTTCGGGCGTAACACCCGGAGCAATTGCAGCTATGGCTCCAGCACCCGGGACTTCCGGCCTCCTAGCCCGGAACGGACGGTTTATCTATATAGCTCGTAACTTTATCTCAGTGCATATTTCAAACAAAGACATAAACGTTTTTCAAGGAGGAGACGGGTTCAATTTCCAACCAAGTCAAAATAGTAGCTTGGGTGGTACAAACATTTTTTGCAGACTTAATTTTTGTTCATTTTAAAATTAAAAGTGATTTTCAAAGCGTTTTGCTCTCAACCGATGAATCATTAATCTTTCAATGTTTATGTATCGCTCTATTCCCAGCATGTAAGACACGGGCTCTACTTACTACCTTGCTTTGACACTTCTCCCAGTGTTTCATTCTAAATTTCCCTCATCATTTTCGTGCTAATATTTTAAACACTATATCGGTCCTTGTTTACTACCTATCTCATGAGTCTATCATCAAAAATTGTAGAAAAACTCCCGTTCATCACTTAAAGATGGACACATTTCTCTACGAACTCAAGTTTGTCAATGGGTCTACAAAGACATAACGTTCTTATCAATTCATTGCCAATGCTACCTTTGATTTGCGAACGTAGTTCAGTTGGTAAAAGTGATAAAGTCTGACACGTATGAATCCGTAAATCATGACTTTATCATAGACAAAAAAAATGCATCAGCAAACCGTATCCACCCTCTTTTTTCGTGAATGAATCAAACAGTACGAAAAACCAGACTTTCTCAACTTGGCTAAATTTTATCTTTCAAGATATTGAAGTCATTTTTCCTAGAAATTGCACATTCCCTCCTTAAAAAAGTTAAATGTCGATGGTGAAACTACCAAACTTTGTATCTCGGTCTTCAACATAAAAAATTTCCTAACACATTATAATTTTTAGTCAACATCGAACATTCTGCAAACATTTCTTGTAATAACTTGGACGCAGCATTTCCTTAAAAAATATACTTATTATGAGGAGAACTTTTGAAACACCGCGATCGGGATCCGGGGTTTGATAGTTTCACCATCGACATGGATTAGACCGTGACCGTCTCAGACCTTGAATTAGTTCCGTGAGTTTTGCGCATTCATATACAAGAGACCTTGAAAGCTCATGCTAAAGGTTTGTAAATCTAGGTTTAGGTTTTTTAGACAGCGAGCTCTTGGTAACAACAATGCGTTCATCAATGTAGAATTTCTTAAATAGCTTGAATAGTATTGAATGGAGTGCTTGAAGGGCTTGGAAGACAAGGGCATATGTGCAGTTTTTGAAAAAAAAACAGGTAACAATGATTTCAAGTAAAACTAGTCCTAAATTCCGGTTTTTAAGCATCTCAAAGTCAGTTGGACTTTCTTTCCGCCACAAGGATTCATATAATTTGGAAACTTCAAACACGTATTTCTCGAAATAGCAAGAACTGCGCTTATGCGCCCTCTCCTTCAGTCCCACGATTCTCACTCAAGGTCGCAGTCTCAGACGTGTGTACATGTCACACGCAATCGGCAAGCACCGGAAAATTGCAATCTATTTACGTTTAATAAAATAGTTTAACACTTCAAAACTAAAGGAACAAGATGGAAAGTATAATGATTATTAAGCTCGGAATCCGAACAGACGTTTTTTTCCTCTGGGATGCATGGTATCAACTAACACATTGCCGAGTGTGTGCAATGAAGTGAAGCCAATGACCTCAGTTGGGTTAAGTTAGGTCACGCAACTAAACCAACTCCCTGACAAAGCGGAGAGTATCGCCATGATTTGAAGGCGTTACTAGTCGTGGTCGCGCTCTTGAAATGTTTCACCAATGAATCCTTTACTACGTTGATGCGTCTATTGTAATTTTACAAGGTGACGGGCATGTTGCTTTCAAATTGGTAATGCCTCTGATCATCGATCAAATCAAACTACAGGATGAAAAGGTCTTATACTTGCTAGTGGTGCAAGTTAGGTGTATCGTTGATATTAAGTATGCGCCTCTAGTTTGATCGTGGGCAAGGGACAAACATTTTTGGTCCCTGTTTATATGACCATCCACGAGAGAAGAGATCCTATTAATGAAGACAATTTTTTCAGGAGGGCGATTTTGGTCAATTTGGGTCGAAAAATTGGATGTCGAGTATTGCCAAAGGCAGGATATAACCGGAATTAGTATCTTGACAATACTGGAGGCTTTTAGTGTCAAGACAATCAACTGTTCGCCTATCAATTGGTGAATGTCTAATACTTATTGAACTTTTCATTCATTGGACAAACCGAAGTTTGGTTAACTTGTTTGGTACATTGTCACTCGAGGCTCATCAGCTATCTAGTAGGTGGGCCGTGGCCAGCACAAGGGTGATAACTGTTGCTGCCGCATTGCTCAAAAGAAAATATTGAGTATTCGAGAGTAAGGTTCCCTCCCGTCGTTAGGAGGTTACTAACTCCTTGTCTCCGAGTTCTTTACGAGTGCACAAGTTCTTTTGGAGGTTTTTGTGTGGTGTCGACTTCTTTATATCAAAAGGAGCTATCTCTATTTCGATATTGACCGATTGCGTTTCGACGGTTCAAATTCCCAAATCACGTATCTCGGTTTGCAGCGTTGCAGACATCCTGAAATTCTCCAAGCATCCAATGAAAAAGTATTAAACGGCAATATTCTAAAAACAACTGCTGCGATTTTTCTTTTCTGTGCAAAGAATATCATGTGAAAACTCTAGGAAATGATGTTGATTTTTTTTCCTTCCAAAAATTAAACAGAGGAGGATATTTTCAAACATCGCAAACGAGATACGTGGTTTGGGAGTTTCACCATGGGTGCGTTTTCCTATAGGTCTTAAAGCTCAAGTCACAACGGAGATAGACTTAAATACGTTATTATGAGTCCCTTTCTTCTAGATATACGAATTGTTCACCTTGGTTCAAAAGGATATATAGGCGGCAAATTCGAGAATATATGGACTAAATTTTGCAATTAGGAACTACAATTTCTATCCTATCGATAAAAACGCTCATGCGCATAGGGAAACCAATGGTATACAAACTTCTTTATTCTAAACTGAGCCAGATATTATAATTTCGCATTGCAAAATGCGGTCCATATGTCTCCTTAAACAAGAATAAAACGTTAATAAATATGGCCAAATAGTGCTGGGTCCGCGCTGATTTTTTTTTTTTTTTGCTTTGATTTTCCCGGAAAATGTGAAGGACCCAGCACAATTTGACCTCCTCATTTCTGCTTAAATCAAGTCATTCAAATCGATGATATGAGATAATGTTCAAGGCAATCCGGCAACACGTATCTTATTTCATCTCCTTCTTCGTCCCCCTGTGACGTAGGCGCTTGTCAGTTTCCCGACGGACGGACCAACATCCGACATCCTACGTCCGAGAAAGCCTTGTCGGCCGCATGTCAGTTTCGGTTCTTTCCCAACTCTACTTCCGTTTCGTTGTCATACGTTACAGCTAAAAAGAAACTTGCAATTAACTGTCGCGATACTCGCAGAGTAACACGAAGCTCGCGGAAAAAGGATGGGGTGACCGTGATCCAATTACAAAGACAAAATGAACATCATTAAGCAGAGTCGATCTGTCTTCTGGGAGGGGTTTGGAAATTCACGTATAATGCAATAGAATAGTTTAGGGATACATGTTTTATCTTGAGGACCCCGCACTAATGGCTCCGCCAATGAGAAAATAAGGTTTACGCCTTGCCTTGAAAGACGCTGAAATGTTATGAATATTACTTGGTCACCCAGACTTTTAATAGGGAGGAAGAGGTCACTACTGATTGACTGACGTTTCTAACCGATGGGTAACCAAACGCGGTAAGAGCAGTCGGATTACATTTTGCAATAAGGAACCACTATCTCTGGCTGTACCATAAAAGCACCTTTCTTCATAAGGAAACCAATGGCATTTATGTTGTTTCTAAAATAAGTCAGAAATAGTTGGTTCCTTCTTGCAAAATGCGGTCCAGTTGAAGTCGAAGCATCACCGGACATTGCTCTCATCAAATATTCATGAGAATTACGTTGTATTTGTTGAATATTTCTACATTTTCAAACAAGTCAAAACAAACATAAGTCCAAGCGGGCGTTAAAATAAAAAGAAAAAATACTCTAAAAAGGGAACAATTATCATCTGGCAATAGGAGTAGAGTGCGTTGAGCCATGTGAAAACTTTCCTCTTTCTCTGAGTGGCTAATGCGCAAAGAGAGGAGCAGGTGATGAAAAAGCTGTTTTCTTAGCTCTTTTCTGCTTCTTCCGATTTTCTTATGGCCATTGATTGATCAGAGGTGTAAAATTGACAATTAGTTCAGCAATGAGAACCAAGTCAAATTTTCAAAATAATTATCATTGGTTATAATTTTTTTTTCTTTTTTTTTCCAGCTTACACTGCCAAGATTTCCCACTTATTTTAGCGAGAGCGGTCTGGTCCGAATGAGTTCAAGACGCTATTAATGTAGTAATATTAACTCGCAAATTGTTATACTCAAAACGATGTTCAGAGGCAATTCTCTGCAAGCCGGTAGTTTATCGGAGCACTCTGGGGGAGGAATATTAACCATGCTAAGCTCAAAGCAGGTGAATGTACGGAGCAAAACTGCCTTAAGCAACTATTACTGCTCCTAAGTAGCCAACATTGCCTAGTCGGAACATTGAAGGCGAACCGGTCCGAGCTCGAGAAACTCAACGAGAGATGCATTGAATATTAACGCTGTGACAGCAAAATCATTTAGAAAGTTGAATTTTGATCAAACTAGCCGATGATTTGAACTCATCTCCTGGCAGTTTCCAACGCTCTGCAATGAATCTCTATGTTTAAAACAAAGAAAAAGAAAAAGAAAAAAAATCAAGGGATTCCCTGAAACTCTTGTGACAACAACAAAATTCGTACGAACTCATGCTTACCTCATTTTTTACTTTGTCGCTGACATTACTCAGGAGAAGTTGGTGTATAATGCGGGCTGTCGAGTTTGCCTGGAGTAGAAATGATAAATCAGACGATCAGAATCAATTTGAGTACTAACTATCGAGCTTTGAGATTGTCGAAAAGCTTATCAAAATTTTATTTTTACCACGCGTGTGCTCAGAACTGGACTTTGGATTTTATTGAAAATTATTTTTAAACTTACATACCGATAACCAATGTGTCAGACCACGTATCTCTCTCTGTTTTCGATATAGCAGACAACCGGTCATGTTTTAATTTTTCAAAAAAAAAAAAAAAACTTCCTTGGTTTTTCTTCATAGCTAAGCATAATATTCTGTAAAAATGTCAAGCTATATAGTTGACTATTTATTTTTCTTTTTTTCTTTTTTTCTTTTTTTTTCAAAAAAATAAAACAACAGCAGACATTTCGAAATACCGCAATAGAGGTACGCGGTTTTACACTGTAATAATCGATATTTTGTGGTCCTTTTTAATTTCACACATGGTTTTCTCGCCTGTTTTACATGTGAAGAATCGCAATATATTCAAAGCACTATGTAAAATAGGTACCTAAACGTAGCAGCGTGTTTATTATTGGTTACTTCAACGTGCGAAGGACGGATGGGTCACTAACGTGTGAATTACGCGAAATGGGACTTGTCGACCAACTGACCGCAGCAGGAAAGTAGGGCATACGTTTTCCCAGCATTGACCATGGCCCGTGCTGGACCCATTATCGCAAGAGACATTCCAGTAATCAAAAGTTGGAAGTTATGTTTAGCGTGATGATCCTAACTTGGTGCTCGTTGTTTTTACCGACGTTCTCAATACGTGCAACCAATACTCACAAACAATAGACATTTAAAAGTGAGGATTTGCAAAGTTTCAAGCAATGCTAAGAGAAAAAAGAGACGAAATTTAAAGTAGAATTGGTCAGAAAAGATACATTTTTGTTGAGATGATGGTGAACATAAAGTAAAAAGTTTAGTGAAGAAAATGTGAACTTGGCAAACTTAATAAATGCAACAGTATTTTTTTTCGAGGCGTAAAATGAAAACGGATACGTTATGCCAATCACTATGCTATAATTGCTGATTCACTTTCGACCAAGTAAGGATTTATTTGAATCATATCTCAGGAAAGGTCGTAACCTTATTTCATTTTAAGAATCGTTTGATCGGCTTGAATTTTAAGAGACAGGTGCAATATTTGAGAAGCCGTAAATAGTATTAATAGTAAACCATGCACATGTGCGCGAAACAAGGGCATAACAGAAATAAAAGCGTCACTAATTTTTTAAGGCTCTTCATTTGAGCAGCGCTCCCTACATTTCTCGGCGTCCAAGATTGATTTTTAGGAGCATTAACCGTTTTCCAATCGGAAGTTAGGCAGAACAGCGGAGACCGAACAACAAAGGAGCTCGCTTGGAATACAATTCACCGTTTCCAGTAAATTTTTAAATTCATACTGTAAATCAGTAGAGGCTTGTATGCATGCCACTGCAGCAAATTTCAATCAACAGAGCCCCTTTAATTAGTAGATAGGCAACATACATAATACTCTGATGAAATTAATATTTCTAACGTGTAATTCGGTGTAATTTCAATGTATTCCATTCTACTTCCGTGCTACCTCGGTGCCACTGTGCCAGCACCTCTCACCCTTCGTTTTCCAGCTGATGCCATGTCCACCCTATTTTTTTTTCCTGCGACCAGTAACGTCATTTCATCTAAACTTTAAGAGGGGGGGCGAGTGACCTGGCATGACCCCTAACATGATACCTAAGTAGAGAAACAAATCAGATTTTTAGGGATTCGGTCAATTTTTATCGTTTATCGAAGCCTTTAAAAACGCATGGGAAGGAGGCTGCTCTTGTTGCATCGTTGCCATTGTATAGTACGACGCAACCCTTATCACTCACTTGCATGCAGACAGCAGACGTCTTGCCGACAACGTAGCTGATTGTAGCGAGAAGTGCAACGGTGAAGCAGCCGTAATACAGGTTGAAGAAGGCGTCCTCTTCGGCGGCCTTGCGGAGTGCCAGATATATGGTGTAGTAGGAGTTGCTGGTGACGATGATGAAGACGACGGCGAAAATGGCCAGGGTCTCCGGGCCGAAGGCGAGGTTCAGCTGCCGGCAGGTCTGACGGAGGAGGGCGTGCGCCGTGACCAGAGGCTGGACGCTCGCCGACCAGCAGCGCGCCCACAGATATTGCCGGTGCCGCGTCCACCGCGTCTCATTCGCCGCCAGCTGTTCCAGCAAGGTGGCGTTGACGCATTCGAATTTCAGCCGAACCGCCGTCAGCACCTTTACGTACTGGAAAATCGCCGTAATTAGGTCAGCAGTCCGATTTTTGAGATTTTATCTCAGGGGGCCGTCTATAAAATTTTTGCATTCGGGAAGACACATTATTACTCATCTGATCAATATTTGGACCCCGCCTCTGGCAAAATGTGCTGTCTGAGAGCTTCATTTGTTCAAAACAGCGAAATAACCAGTTTGGGGGTAAGATATATCGATTTTAAGTATTCAATGCTAAAATTAACTAATCCCGAAAACATAGGGCTGAAGTTTCAATCCATAATCTGCATCGTTAAAAATGTTAGAAGTATTTGAAGTGAGTCGTTCTTAAGACTGGTAATAGAGCTGACAAACTTTAACAATGGTTCTCTCGGATTTCTCATTCTTCGCCTTTAAGGAATTGCCGTCAAAGGGTCAATTTTCGGGTTTTTCTTTGCGCCAAAGTATCGTCCCTCTGAGGCTATGGGATAGTCATCTCATCCCCCCTCTAAATTTTAAGGCTTATTTTGCCTGACTCCTCCTCGTCTATCATCTTCAAAAATTCTTCATTTAAGGCCAATGCCTCCATTTCTCGGAGTTAGTTCCGAAGTCCGGAACTTATGAGATTTTCCTCAATTTTCCCCCGGAACTTTTGAAATACCCGAGACGTTTCGGATCTTTTGCATTCTCCGGAACTTCCTCGGAGCTTTTGAAAAAATCTAAAAGGAACCCCGGAACTTTTGACGGTCATGGAGTGGGAGAAATTGGAACAAAAAAGTTCCGAATCCCGGAACTTTGGACGAACATGGAATGGAAGCTCTGTTAAAGGTAACTGATTTGTGATGAATGCTTCCTCACCTGGAAGAAAGAGATGAAAAGTATGATATAGGCTGGATAGCTTAGAATCAAAGGCACGAATTCCTCGCATTTGCAGCTGAATAGAACATGGGAGTCAAGCGCGATCTGACAAGCAATGAAAGCGGCGGCCACATAGTTCTCAAGCCTCTCAGTTAGGACGTCTCTTTTCGGATGGAGCCCGAAAACCCGCATGCGAAGGTTGACGCTGTAAAGTTTACGGAGGAGATCCTTCTTTCGTTCGGAGAAGAGCAAGTTGTACGCGAGGTCGAGACAGGCGGCCGCGTTGAGCAATAGCAGCTCGCAGCAACCCACGAAGCCCGCCGACAGGGATTTTCGGGCCCAGCCCACCTCTCGCCAATCCCTAGTAGTCGCAAAAAATGCGAAAAAATTAAGTAAATGATAGTGAATTTGCAGGTGTTTTAAATTTTGTGAATTTCATCTTTAAAATGGACGTATTTCTATTAAACAGAACTGTGTGCAGGTGGGAAAGATGGGGTGTGCTCGTTGGTGCTCGGGCCATAAGAATGAATGGGAAATATAAAGCGCCAGTGACTTTAGCGGCAACGAAGCCATGAAAAACTCACATGAAAAACGCTGAAGTCATGTCATGTCATGTCTCATTTTACAAGGTAACTCCGCAAGCTTCATTTACCGGCGGTTAGTATAAAGGGGGGTAAGTCTACTGAACTTAGAATGCGCTTCGCAAAACCATTGGTGTGCCTCATAATAAATGATTTTCTCCGTGTATACCTAAAAATCTTATTACAAAGATCTCTCTTTGAAGTTAAGTAATAAATTGAGAAAGTTTTCATTCTATACATTAACTTTCACTTACAAAATTTCAATTGGAAAACCAATAAAATAGTGTTAAAATTATACCACAGATAAGATAGTATCCGAATGATAGCTTACTTTCCGAGAACGCTACGGTGGCAGTTATCGTATGATGTTAGAATACCTGAGAAACATGTACGTATTAAGGCTGGAGATGAAAAGAATGACCAAAACAGTTTGAATGCGACCATATCGACTTGTTCTGAGGGTGCTCAGAGAATACGGAGTCAGTCCGACGTATTTAGAGAGCCTGAAGATCGGTCTTAATGACGCCTCAATGTGCGCCAGATCCAGCTTCTTCGCATCTTTAGTCCCTTTTCCCCAAGGTTTGCTCAGCTGTAAACCAGGGCCTGCAAATATAACCGAATAGGGAATCTGGTATGGTGGCACAAAGGACTCTCTGAGGGCTTGATAAAAATTGTCGTTAAAGACCATCTTAGGAAACATGCCTATTTATTTAAATCGGATTTAAAAGATCACCGGCCCGCTAATTGAAGCTGTCGGCCTAACAAGACAAGGCATATGCATAGCCCTATCATCGCATTTCGATGTCTTATCAGGCTGCTTTAAACTTTCAATAATATGCTGGCACCAATAATATGATGAGAGGATGACTAAATATTAACTAACGAATTGTTCTTGCTGCGAGCTCCTTTGTTGTATTTGGGTCATTACATTTAAGGAATACACTCTCCCCTATTTCCGATGACAAATCGTAATTATTGAAGCCTGGGTAAAAATTATTATCTTTACTTAATTGACCGCGTGGAAGTTTCAAAAATGTTACAACTTAAAAGAAGGCAATTATGATGCATTCTCATTAACATCAATCGGTGTGATTATTGTGCGATAATAGTGCCTGTGCGAATATCAGGGGACCATTATATCTTGATGGTAGTGTGATCAAATTGTGAGTATCATTGCTTCATACTATAATTTTGAATTCGCTGAGGTAATAATCCAGAAACAAGAAAAATCAAGGATCGCGAGCGCGATTGTTGAAAACGGGAATGAGCATTGAGCATCTTTAACACATACCTACGTATTTGTCTTATAGGACTTTTTTGCTAATATGAACGTAAGCCACAGACCATTGACCCGATTCAACAAATGGTAATTTTCACAAAAGTAAAGTGTAAATCCCTTCAAAATTTTAGTTTGAATCCTTTACTATTCATCAGTACCTTTACATTTTACGTGCCTACACAAACGTACTCTTCGGGTACGGAAAAATATGCTGAAAAGCCAACTCTTTAAATCTTGCCGAAAGTAGAGTCAAGGAATTTTTAGTCACCATAATTGGAAAGAATTCCCTGACGACCTGAAACCTCATCTACTTCAGACAAACTTCATAGCCCCAAAACAGAAAAGCAAGAGAGACTAAGCACGAACACGAAAAATGTTAAATATGACTTAAAATGCGACATTTCCTACGTGTGCAAGTCGTGCAAGTTGAAACTCTTGTTCAACAAGAGGAGCCCCTTCAATTAGTAGAAAGGCAACATGTACAACACTTCGATGGAGCAGCGCTAATTTCATCATGTGGGGTCGCATTTTTTGCAACCTGTGCTACCCGAGGTACTAAAACCTTTAGTAAGTTCTATGAATAGAACGTCTAGTTGTTACTCGAAGCAAAAGGGTGGTTTCACGATAGCTGGAATTGTTTTGTCGCCGTAACAGACAACACACTTTTCGGTCATATTTTTAGTAGAAATAATAATCAATCGAATTTTTTCGCATTAATCTTCAAAGGGTTACGTATTACAACGCTTTATTATGATTTATTGCCCTACTTCTCAATTAATATTATGTAAATTTCGAAAATGTGGTGTCTGTTAAGTGGTAAAAAGTCAGCGTAACAGACAGCACATCTTCGGCCATTTCTTTCTTAAAATTGAAAAGTAGAGCGATAAATCTTTGAAAAGCGTTATAACACGTAACTCCGGGCAGATTAATGCAAAAAATTTGAGTGATTAACATTACTACTAAAAATATGACCGAAAAATGCGTTGTCTGTTACGGCGACGAAACTAACCACCCAAAAGTTTCTCTTTCTGTGCGGGAAGGACTTACTTCGATTTTAGCGTTCGAGGTCTCCCTGAGCAGCATGGTGAGAATGAAAAAATGCATGGACGACCAGTAGAGGCAGTAGATGGTCTGGATCTTATTCGGCGAGGCGAAGAAAAAGAAGAAGACGTTGCTATTGAAGTTCGTGAAGCAGGTGGCCAAGAAAAAGAGGATCTGGACGGAATAGAGCTCGTTGTGTTCATCGATGGCGTTGCGGAGCATTGAGTGGACGACGACAACGTCTTTCAAGATGACGTCGAGCGGCTGTCGCGGTTTCTTCTCCAGCTCCGTCTGGTCGTAACGGATGACGTAGGACTCGAGGAAGTCGTTGACGAGCCGGAACTTCAAGTTGAACACTTTCATGAACGTCGTGAAGTTGAGCATGGTCGGGATGACTATCAAGTAGAAGGAGTAGATGTGCAGCATCTTGTTCAATACCATCCAGAGGGGCTTCTTCCGCAAGACGTGCATAATGATCACGTCTCCTGTTGCTATGGAACCTGATATCCGCGGATCGCAATGAAAGAAAAATATAAAATATTTGAAATTTCAGCGAGGTATTTTATGAAATTCCAGTAGGCTGTCAATTTTTTTCATTTTAATTTTTTTATTTATTTTATTTTTTTAAAAAAGAGAATGCCCTTCTCAAGGGCTGGATATGCAACCTGCCCCTAAAGACACAAAATAGTTTTTGTAAAAATTTAGGTTTTTTAGTATTTCGCATTTTTATTCGTGGTGCACTAAAAATAAATATGAATAAATTAATGTCGATTAATCATATATCGGTAGAAATTTTCTCTGTCCTGAGAGCTAAGCTGATAAACGGTGATGGATAAACATATACTTTTCATTATTTTTCAGAAATTTCTGATATCTTGTGAACACTTTTACGTGAAATTTCAGAATTTTGATTTCATGATAAGTATCCAAACTGAGTCAAAGTGTGATGAGAAAATTATTAAAGGCTTTGCTGACCATTCCTCGAGTATTTACTTTGTACGTTAAATGGCAACATATCCTCATAAAGCACGTGCTTCTATTTAACATTATTTACAAAAATTTGTAAATGAAGAAAAGAAAATGTGTTGGATTTTATGTAAAGTTTTATCATTTGAAATGACAATAATTCCAAAAAATTGTACAAAAACTTCAAATTCATTAGTGAAAATCGCTGACGCCGCAAGTTTGAATAATTGCGTCTAACACAGTGCGCAGCCTGCGCGAGGCTGGCGCGCAAGTCGCCAAACTCATAGTAGCGCCTTACAACACCGCATGATACTTCACGCATTGCGCGTATAGCACGAAACGCGCGACGCATAGTAGGCGCCTTAAAAGTTTGAAGGATACTTCATGCATTGCGGGTATACTACGGGGCGCGCTTATGTCGTTATAATGTCGTATTTTCTTAGTGTCGAACCTACCCCGGTGTAAACCTTTCCGAACGGTACACACTGCGAGCTTGCAATCCTAGGATCAAAGGATTGTAGAGATTTAACAATCCGTTTTGTTTTCCGGTAAAAATATAATTTACGAGTTGAAATTCTTCAAGTTTGAATGCAATTACGTTCGATCATCCGGAAAACGCCGAACTTAGCTAACTTCCAGAAAGAGAAACCGGACTCTTTTTTTTATCACTAATGTGGCAAAATTTCCAGGGGGATAGTTTTGGTATTACATTCACACAAAAATGAACTCTGGCAATCTAATCTAACTTCGGCAATGTTACCAAAATGATCTAGGTAGACCTAGAGTCCCTCTATAGAGAGAGTTAGTATGGAGAGAGTAAAGACAACGCGGCTCATGGATGTCACAAACGGGAATAAAGATTACACAAATTGGACGTTTTTGTAATCTTTGATCAACCCATTCCCGAATTCTATAAAGGGATCATCCCACCATAAAGGGATTATAGTTCTACCTATGATGACGAAGAAAGTGAGGATGATCCTGCGAAAAGAATGGGCCTCGTGGCTCAAGTGGAGCTGCCTGAGCTTGCGATTGATGGCGGTGACCTGGCGGAGGATGGCGACCCTCCTGCGAGCGTGGACGACGCTCCGGCAGAGAATGGTGGAAACGAGGCAGAAGAGACAGATGAAGAAGGTGAAGATGGTGCCGGAGGTGAGGACGTTGAAGGCGTCCTGCGAGGAGTAGGTGCGCGTCTTCGGGGAGAAGACGTTGTCGGCGGCGATCTTGGTGAGGGCGGCGCCCTCGGCCAGGGTGTGCAGGAGCCCCAGGGGTCGGAGCCGTCCGCTCCGGAGGTCGTAGGGCACCAGACCGGCCACCGTGCAGATCAGCGTCACCGCCTCCAGCGAGGGCTCCACGTCGCGCATGTGCCGGTAGCTCATCTCCAGGCTGCACCGAAAAAAATAATCCCTCTTTCCAATTCGTACTTTTCACATGGCGCAGACTATAGTCGTCTTTTTTTATGCCATCGGTCGCCATCAGTCGCCGTCACTGCGCAATCAGCCGTGTTTTGTTTTGTTGATGTCATTAGAAATGAGCGGAGCTTAGTTTGTCAAACTGAGCTAGACCATCAGTCACGTGACGCTTTGATGCGATCAGCCGCAATCACTCGTCACCTCAGTCCGGATTGTGTCTATGGAGCACCATTAGTGAAACCCAACAATTTTTTGAAATCTAACAATGTTTGACTCGTGATTTCTCGTTACTCGTCAAATGGTCTGTGATTGGATAAAGAAAAATGGGCTTGAACATCAATCGCAACCACAGCGATGCCATCGGTAAGCGACCGGCGGCATAAAAAAGACGACTTATGTGAAAAGCGAGGGACACTTATAGATATTCTCACGCACTTTGACCGTGTGCAAACTTAAGGACCAACTCTTCGATTAATCCTCGAAAAACATCTAGAATTTTTCCGTCCCTAATGCGATGAATTTGGAATCGAATGACGTTCTTTAGGGACCCTACCAAATGTTTCAGACTGGTCACTACATATATGTCCATTGCCATTTTATGATGTATTTTTGCTTTTCATCACTTTATATTGATTCCTAGAGTTGCCGAGGCTCTTGAAGTTAAATGACGATCTTAGATGACCCACATCCGTATGTAATAGATCGTATTTGATAAATCAAACAGCTGAGATTGCATCGATATCGATTGGTTCAACATGTAGGTACACATAGCCTCAAAAGTCAATTTAGAAATCTGAGGGAACGGGTCTTTAGTGATTGATTTTTTATTCTTTCGAGTACCAATGGCAATGAAGCGTGGAATTGTTAGGAATTTTATCATTTTCAGCTTTTCTTTCCTAAATCCTAAAATTTTTGTTTAAGGTTATATTCTTTTGTTGTGAACCAAACGATACGTCGACCCACTATCGAATACAATCCATTTTCGTTTTGTCCTGTTCCTTGACAAATTTTTCACTCAATAATTTTTCTGTAAATGATTTACGTACCTACCGCAACTTAATTGGAAAAAAGACTTCTGTTTTTTTTTTTTTTTACTTTTATTTTTGGAGGAGGATGTCGTATCAATGATACTCAAAATCTGATCATACCATCCAAATTCATTATACCAGCTCCGAACCGATAACCCCCCAAAAAAAAAAAAAATTCATTCGGATTTTCTCTTTGATTGTTTCTGGTTTTAGGTTGTCAGGTCATTTAGATAAACATTCACCTACAGAGAAACAGAGGAATTAAAAGGAATCTGTGCCTATTGCAGTTTAAGTAATTGCGGGAGACTTTGTAGTGCGTCGGAATGGGGCAGTGCTGGTTTTTTCATGTTTTCATTTACGTCCATTTATTCCTTTCCCTCTCTCTCTGTCTGTCTCCCTATCTTATAAAATCCTTCATGCCATAATTTGCTAAACGAAACATACAATGCAACATTTTTGATTGAATGAGATACACCTGTCATTTATTTAGAGTCCGAGGAGGGTGAAGAAAAAGAACCAGAGGAAGAAGAGGAAAAAAGAAGTCGCCTCACCTTTTTTTATAAACTGTGCGTTGTATACTGAAAGACTCATTTGACCTTGTGCTGTCACCGGCTTATTTCACCACATTTGAGCTAGAAGCCATGTCTCGCTCCCTGAGAATGAAGAGGCAGAAAATATTTTGACTACCTATGATAAATCATTTCTCAGCGATCATTTTCGAATCTTCAACCACTTATTGTGAAATTGACTCGGTTCCAAACAGAGCTCCAAAAATCAGCGCGAAAAACTTAGTAACATACTAAACTTCCTGAATTCCAGGATCCTTGCTGCTTTTTTCTGCACTCATGATAATTTTAGGTCGAGAAAAATTATAGATTCTCTGAATTACACAAGATACAATGTGGACCTTTGAAGTATGAAATCACACTGACGTTTATCTTTCGAAGAAAAAAGTTTTACCTCCTTCCGACTCGGTACGCGACAAGGGAGTTATCCACTTTTTATAACGTCGTAATTAATTTCTACGAGGAATAGCTAAACATGTCTCTGTCACTGACATAAAGTAAGTAAATAACCGAAGCGCAAGTTGCTTAAAAATCACTGAAGGTCAACTTTTGAGAGCTCACAAGAGCCTGTCTTTTCATTAAACGACACTCGAGTTAAGGACGCTGTCGCTGTGTGTACTTCATGAGAAAGGGTGGTTGACGCAGAGCTTTCTGCAGGTATAGCCTCCTTCGACTACGAGTTCTCATCATTGCATATTTGATGCCTTCATTTTCGACACAAAGCCATACAGAGCCCAATTAAAATATCTCAGAACTATTGAAATATATCGACGGTGTAAAGTGCGCAACTACGTAACTCGGTTTGCGACGTGACAGACTGCCTGTCATACTTTATTTTTAAACGGGAAACTATTCAACAGCAATGGACTACTAGACAAGGTACGAATTTAAACAATCTGATACATGTCTCTTAACAAGAATTTCACGTAGAATACGATTCGCGCAACGAAAATTACTGAAACCAACTCCTGGCGGAGATATTAACATTTTTATTTCACATTGGTTACGAGGAATTTGAACTGCCCGCTCACAAGAAACTCAAAGCTCTACGTGAGTCAAATCGCGCACTACAACGGTTTCAGCAAGCTTCTCAACCGAGCAATGTTCATTTCCCGCCATGTGTTTTTCAAACGATAAGCAATTTGCTATAGCTGAGCCAAAGCGTCAAGATTGAGGTTGCCAGATTTTTATATCGCAGAGACTGTCATGATAACGTTTAGCGCACGATGTGAATCACGTAGAGCATTGAGTTTTCATGAGCGGGTGGTTTGAATTCTCGCAACAGGAATAATTAAATATCTTCATAAGGAGTTGATTTCGGTAATTTTCGTTGTGCGTATTGTATTTTACGTGAAATTTTGGTTAAGAAACATGCATCAGAATGCTGAATTTCGTACCTTGTCTAGTGGTCCATTCTTTAAAATTGCCGTGATAATTCTTCTCTGTGCGAAGAAAATTCTGCAAAAACCTCAAGGAATGATGTCAATTTGTTCTTCTCTAAAAAAATAATATAGAGGCGGAGATTTTCAAACACCGCAAACGAGATACGTGAATGCGGACTTACGCCGTCGATATTCCATTCAGCGATCTCCATACTTGTCGCTCCTCTGCCTTAAGGGCTTAACTCTATTCCCACACGAGCCCCAGAAAGTATAGATTCATACGGATCACAAGGCTCACGTAGACGTGGAGGTAGAGTTACGCCCTCGCTCCAAAAAAGCAACAATATATTTTAAGGGGCTTGGAGGACAAGGCGCATAAGTGCAGTTTTTGAAAAAAATAGAGATATCAATGATTTCAAGTAAAATTAGCCATAATGCATATTCTTTGCAAAATTCTCTCCCAAATTCTAATTTTTAAGCATCAAAAAGTCAGTTTGAACTTTTTTCCTCCAGAAGAATCCATGTAATTTCGAAACTTTGAACTCGTATTTCTCGAAATAGCAAAAACTACATATATGCGCCTTATCCTCCGAGCCCCTCATTTGGACTTTATTTTGCAATTATAGGAACTGCAATATCTGGCTCATCCGTAAAAACACTTATTGACATAGGGAAACTAATGGCACATGTGGAGTAACTAAACTGAACTAGAAATTATAGTTTCGAATCGCAAAATGCATTTCATCCTTTGTTCAACGCACGTATTTACGCCAAAAGCAATTACGTTCATAAATTAAATACAAAGAAACTGTGCAGCGTGCAAATCCTGTGTACACAGTACGAAGCTCCCTCTGATTTGATTCATTCGCTCATTATTTATTTGGTATGAATAGTCCAATAATTAGCGGATACGCGTGTCACATAATCGTGTTCTGACGGTCATAAATCATAAAGCGTTCGGACGAATTGTATCAATTGGGCCTGGTTCGTGAGCGTCAAGCATCACGGCACGATACTGTGACATGCAACGAGCGCAACTGACCCACTGAATTCTAAAACACACCGATGGCCCAAGTGCGAAACCGCGTATCTCCAATGCGGTGTTTCAAAGTTTCCGCTTCTATTGTATTTTTCCCAAGAGAAACAAGCCAACTTCACAGCTAGAAATGTTAACAGAATATTCTGCTGACAAAGAATAAGCAATACCAAGGAATTATAGTGAATAGCTTCCCCGAGAAAAACCAAAGCATGACAGGAAGTTTGCAACGTCGCAAACAAAGATACGTGGTTTCACACTTTGGCCATCGACATAGTTGGTCTGGGGCACTAAAAACTTTGGTCGTTTAATATTTGATTCTCACTTCGTGCGTTTGGAGGATTGTTATTATGCTATAATCATAACAAGAATTGAAAAATGTAACCGTGTGAAAAACAAGGCTAAACAGTAACAGTGCTAAGGAAGAACGTCGTATGAACTTTCAAGAGTTGCCAAATTTCCCTCGATAAAACATGTATTTTTGACAACATGCATGCACATTTTTCCTTGACATTTTTAGATATTTTAGTTTAGATTACGTACAAAATGGTCTGAAAATTAGAAAATAATATTCACAAGTTTCCCAGTAAATTCGGCTTTTATTAGAGGAAACGTGGCATCGTCTGAACGTTCATACGGTGTTTTTCCTTAGCATGGCAGAGCAGGTCCATGTGACGTCCTGTAATCACTCGATTTTACTCGCATTGAGCTTTTCTTTGGCAGGAGGGTGTACATGTGTGGTGAAGAACCCACAGGGTCATAGATTGTCTTAGGTCATAGACTTGCATGGTCTGATTTCATCAGGGTAGTAACTAATGGACGGATCAAGCTATCAGGGAAAGGAACACCTTAGCAAGGAAGGCTATAGCGATGTTAAATGGAATCCTCTGGGATCAGCGGATTTCCAAAGATAACAAGAGGAGGATATACAACGCTGTAGTCAAAAGTATATTAACGTACGGATGTGAAGTTTGGCAGCTGAAGAAACGGACACAGGATATGCTAAGAGCAACGGAGATGGATTTCTGGAGAAGGTCGGCAGGAATTTCTAGGAGAGATCGGGTTCGTAATGATAGAGTGCGTCAGATAATGGAAGTCGAAAATGACATCGTGTTCGACGTCATGACCAAACAACTTGTTTGGTATGGTCATGTCAATAGGATGACGGAAGAGAAGCTGCCAAAAAAGTTGCTTGATTGGGTTCCTCCTGGGAGGAGACGTAGGGGACGCCCAGTGAGAGGTTGGCGACAGGGGGTGTTAAATGAAATAAGAGATTGTCAACTCCCTGATGACCTGTGGGAAGATCGAGCTTTGTGGCGAGTAGGCGTCGTAAAGCGCCAAAGAGCGCTGTAAAAGCGACTTTATATATATATATATATATATATATATATATAAAAATAAACTAATGAGATCATCATTTTTTCTTTGTTCCAGGACCACAAGTCACGGCTGAAAATGTACGGTCGCGGCAAGGATTTAAAAACTTACATATTGCTCTGACAAATTTCTCCCATTGGACGTATCAAATACTAAAAGGTAATATTTGCATCATCACTCTCAAAATTGAGGAATTTAGAATAATTTCAGAACTCTCCTGCAAAGGTTTTTTTTCTTTTTTTTTATCTTTTTCTTTCCCTTTTCTTTCCTTTTTATCACAAAGCTACATCATCTAAATTCTTCCGAAATACGATCATGACACTGATTATGGGAGAGGAAAACTAAAACTACGAGACTAGATATCTGATGTAGGTAACGGCAAAAAATGCATGGAAGAAACAAGCATATGAGTTGCGACCGGTTTATGAAATAATGAAATATTTTAACGTCATATGCTGCACTGATCGGGCGATTGTTTACTTTAAAATTATCAAAAGCAGCTTTAGATGAACACGTGAATGATTCAGACGAAACATTGTTTTAAAAACTAGGTCCTGTAAAAAACAAAAATTAATAGAGAAAACGTCCGGAATGTAGAAGAAATTGCAATTATCTCACGAGCATAACGGATAGATGCAGTTTTTGGTCCTGTAATTCTGGTAAATTCTGGGCTGGGCGTCGCAGAGCGCCAAAGTGTGCTTTGAAAGCGGTTTATATGTATGTATTCTGGCACGTCCGGTTAAAAAAAAAAGTATGCAGTTAAAAAGGATTTCAAAAGTCAAGAGTATGATCAAAACTGAGAAGCGACAACATTACTTGCGAATTGAAGTATTCTTCTTAGAGTATATGGTAGAGAGACTCTTGACGATTAAATGAATGCAAAACTGTATAAAATCGAGCCACTGATCCGCACTCTCGGACAATTTTCCTTCAAGGACAAAGTTCCTTCCAAATAAATAAATGGCTCTTCCAAATAAATTCTTAATACATAGATTATTTTAGCAAAAATACTTGTCCTCCTTTGAGGTCACTATCCTACAGGTACGATTCAATTTCCGCAAGTCTGACTCAGACTTTAGGGTGATTGGTTGTTAAATTTTCAAGATACTCCCGTGTGTTGTTTATTTGTTGCAGTGATGTGGTATCCGGGGTAGCCTGATTGGACCGCAAAAAATCTACGACCCACCGGTAAGATATTGTAATTAATTACTGTACTCTATTTTTTTTAACTCTTTATAATTCAATGGTATTTATACTTTTGCATCCGGTGTACACTTCGCGTTTAATGATATTCCTCACACACCATTAATTCTCAAGAGTATATTGACATGTGGGATTAGTGATTCGTGATGATTCACGGAAAAATTGGCATTAGTCTATGGAAGAAAAATTTACGGTCAATTTTTCAAGTTGGCCCGAAAAATCGGATTGTAGTGTTTTTGACATATAATTCTTTCTAGTGTCTACTTGAGGAGTCAATTCCGAGCAATTTAGCTCATGTTTGTGACAATAGAGGGCGTAAAATTGCATTATCATCCGGATATTTCATATCCTGAACGTGATGGATTAAATATTATAATAGCTTTCTCTTGAAACTACGTTTTTCGAAATGCAAACTTCAAATCGTCGCACGGTTCGATACTACTTTTTGGGGTGCTTTCTGTCTTAAAATAGGCACTCTCCTTCACGCTCCTATTAAATTGCGCCGCAAAATTCTCCATAAAAAAAGAGGGGAACATCCATTTGTCTAAGAAAAAAGTTCTACTGAAAATTCGTATATATCACAGGAAATTACGCAACGTCTAGAGCGTCAATTCTTAGCACGGCAAAATATATAAAACTGATCGTGAAATGTATTTCAAATGTGGAATTTTTTGAAATTGGAAGGCGCAGGAATCGCAACGAGTAGCTTGTGAAAGGGGACTGCCCGCAACAACCACTTGGCTCTAGATTAAACTCTCTTTCTTCTTTAACGCTACAATACTAAAATCGGAAGTAATGTGCTGATACAACTATTCGAGCTTTCGAGTGTTGCACATCTCAATTGAAGGCGCTTTAACTTTCCCAGCTCCGTGCTTGATATTCAGCACAGAGCTAACGGGACATTGGAATAAAAAGAGGATACAACTAAACCAGCTTCCATGTGTTGCACAGTATCATTCTCAATTGAAGGCGCTTTACCTTTCCCAGCTCCGGGCTAAGAACGGGCAACGACGCGAAATCCACTCAAAATCCACGCTAATGCTTCTTTTCAAGTGACAGTTGACAAACATTAAATATATTGAGACTGTTGTTGCTAGATTTTAGAATCTAGTAATTAATCGCGATAAAAATCGCTCCGCTTTTTTTTTTATTTTTTTAGAAAGAGAGTAAATCGACATCATCCCTTGAAGTTTTTGCAAAATTTCCCTCGCATAGAGAAGAAAAACCACGGCAGATCGTAAGAATTGCCGTTTAGTAGCTTTCTATTTAAATCGAGATACATGGTTGCGGATTTACACCATCGATTTAATCTTTTGAAGCAAACTGAACAAAGTATTTCCGTGATATAATATTTACTGTCTGTTAGTAGTCTTTTGAAAAAGTAACTTTGTATGTTGCTTTTTTGGCTCCGTCTGTGTCACTGCTTCTGCTGAGGATGCTGCCAAGCCTCTAGTTTTAGTCCCTTCTCTTTTTTTCTTTTTTTCTCTATTTTCAGTTTTCTTTTTTTTCTTCTCTTTCTGTTCTTTTCTTTTCTTCTTTTTTCTTTATTATTATTATTACTTTTATTAAGGATAAAAGGATAAAGAAATCTTCTTTGTTTTGACCTTATTCTTGTAATGTTTCTTATTCTTTTTTATAACATTTTTTTTATTATCCTTATTTTGAAGCTTTTGGGTGGCATCTACTGAAATTAATGTGACAAAGAAATGGCTTCTACCTGTCGCCAACAGGCGAGTGGAGGGTCTCCGTCTCTAGACACGGAATGCACAGGAGGCAAGGGGGGGTAGGTTTGGCAGGGAGGGATCGATATTTAAGATCGATCTAGCTATGTGTAGATTTGTTAGGCATCGATCAACCTGCGATAAGCTACAGCGTTGATCTTCCGTGGATTGAGTCATCAGCTGTAGTCCCATAACTACCTCAAACCTTGTATACCGCTACGTACTAAGTTTAATTTTTTTGTCGTGTTTTTTTTTAATTTGTCTGTTTATATCAAGATGCTAGTATTTTTTCCTCTCATTACCTACTTGGTCTACCGGTTTCTTGATTGGTTGGGGTTGCACATGGACCGCGAGCGACGCTTGTACGTGGTTACCCTCGCGGTTTTTTTTTTTTTTTTTAACTTGGATGAATAACTCATACCCAGTCCAGAGGTTAATTGCCCTCTTGCTCTCTTCCCAAAAAAGTAAAAAAAAAAACCTAGGGGAGCGAGAAAGTAAAAAGCGGAGCGATTTTCAAACACAGCTAACGAGATAAGTGATTGCGAACTCACACCGTCAAAATTTAATAGGAGATTTTTAAACATTGAAGTGAAGTTACGTATTACCAAAAAAAGTCAAGGTTTAATCGCGACTAAACACTATATTCTACAATCTAGCAACAACAGTCTCAATATATTTAATGTCAACTGTCACTTGAAAAGAAGCATTAACGTGGATTTTGAGCGTCGCGTCGCGTCGTCGCCCGGAGCTGGGAAAGGTAAAGCGCCTTCAATTGAGAATGATACTGTGCAACACACAGAAGCTGGTTTAGTTGTATTCTCCTTTTGCTCACAATGTGATATACGAATTTTCAGGAGAACTTTTTCCTCAGACAAATGGATGTTCCCCTCGTTTTTTATAGAGAATTTTGAGGCGCAATTTAATAGGAGCCAGAAGGAGTGTGCCTATTATAAGACAAAAAGCACCCAAAAAAGGCGGACCGAACCGTGTGACGATTTGAATTTGCATTACAAAAAACGTAGTTTCAAGAGAAAGCTATTTTAATGTCTAATGCATCATGTTCAGGATGTGAAATATCCGGATGTGTAAGAAATATCCGGAAATATCCGAATATTTGGGATGACTCCTTTGAAAGAGCATGAAAGAAGAAAAATTTGCGCTTAAACCCGAAGTCAATATCTCAAAACCTTTCAAAATGGCGGCCGGTTGAAGTTCAAAATAGCCGAACATTCACACCGGTTATTTGTCGATGGATTTGCGCAAAAATCGGTATGAAGAGGTATTTGGACACGAGAAAAACGAATTTGACGTTAGATTCTTAAAAAAAACCAAAATGTCCATAATGACCGCCGGTTAAAGTTCAAAATGGCCGAAAATTGCCACGTAGGTTTTTTTGCTGATGGATTTGCCTGAGACTTGGAACTTAAGAGTATTTTGACATGAGATTAACAAATTTGACTTAGATTTCTGAAAAACCCAATTTTCGGTCATTTTGAACTTTAACCGGCGGCCATTTTGGAAATTTCGGGTTTTTTTTTAAATCTAACGTCAAATTCGTTTTTTTCGTGTTAAAATACCTCTGCATACCGATTTTTGCGCAAATAACTAACCGGTGTGAATTTTCGGTCATTTTGAACTTTAAACGGCCGCCATTTTGAAACGGTTTGAGATATTGACTTTGGAATTGCGCGAAAAGTTGTCTTTTTTATGCTCTTTCAAACGAGTCATCACAAAGAGGGTCTTCCCGTTTGAAAAAAAAAAGTTGGGGTCCGTTGCCCCCTAGAGAGGCCTCCCTGAAAATTTTAGGGAGGCCGAGAAGTAGCTGTCTTCGATCTGGGAACATCGCCTAACTTTCAAATCTTTCCTTCAATTAGATAAAAAGTTAGAGGAGGTGAAAGGGACTCTAGGATCACCCTGTATTCTAAGACCAAAAAGCGTTCTGCGGGTAATTTTCTTTTCTTTTCATCTTTTTATTTTTTCTGCTTTACGTCGAAGCGAATTACATGTGTAAATGATTGGAGTATCCAGCCACAATTGAAAGTTTATTGATAAATTGAAGTCCAAAATATCAAAATATATTTTTGTCCATCAATTTCAACAATCAGTTCGCCGGCCGATTATTGAAATTCGAGGTTTGTCAGTCAGCCATAGATGACGAAGGTGAAATGTGTGATTGGCCGGCTTATGGCTATTTTGTCGGGTGGAATTGATGACATGCTATCAGAAACTCAAGAGGTGCCTTTAGCTGTCGTCAATTATTCTGCCCGACATAGACTTAACAAAATATCAGTGAGGCATAGGTGACGAATCAAACAAAGCTATTCCACCCTTGTCATTTATATGCCCGAAAGACACAAAATTTCAATAATCGCGGTCTGCAGGCGAGCATTTATGACATTCATTTCGGGACAAAAATTGGTTTGCATTTGCAAAAAAGAACTAAGAGCATTCCAATGTTGCTAAGATTAAGCTAACTTTTTTTACCTTGAAAATATGAACTGATCATTAACACAAGGTTTATCATTACTTCCAATAAACTATAAACTCAAGACGAAAATTACCTTTGAAAATTTAATTTTTTGCATGATTTCAGTAATTTCAGCGTAAAGAATGCGATTTGCACAATTCTAGAACATTGGAATGATCTTGATTCCTTTTTGCAAAATGCGATCCAATTAACGGATTTCGTCCGTCTGGAAAACCTGGAAAGTTTCAGGGAGTTTGCAGCGACTTGGTAAAGTCAGAGAAAGTCGAGGAATTTATTGGGTGGGTCAAGGTGTTTTACAAATCGATTGCGTAAGTAGCAATCTTATATCTCGTTTGCGTTGTCTGAAAATCTCTGCCTCTGAGTTATTTTTTTAAAGGAGAGCAAATTGACATCATTCCTTGAAGTTCATGCAGAATTTTCTTCACACAGAGAAGAAGAATCACGGCAGTTTTAAAGAATTGCCGATGAGTAGTTCTCCGTTTAAAAAATAAAGTATGACAGGAAGTCTGCAACATTCCAAACCGAGTTATGTGATTGCCGAACTACACCCCGTTGAACTAGCGCGTCGCCACGGTGGATAGAGTCAGAGGAGAGGCCAGACATAGCGCATCACGGAATCGTGGAATCCCTCGATCCTGGGATTGCAAGCTCGGGGTGCACCTTGGTCGGAAATGGTGTGGACCACGGTGTAGGTCCGGCACCGAGATATTACGAATTTTCAACGATTAATGCGCGCACTGCAGTGAACGCGCAATGCGTGAAGTATTTCAACAGTCTTGGAGGCGCTAATGTATGCGTTTCGTGCCGACTAGCGACCGCACTGTGATAGGCGCAATGCTTGAAGTATTCATGCAGTCTTGTAGGCGCTCATGCGTTCCGTGCCGATCGACGGCGGTTGGTTCATCAACTGGACTGCATTTTGCAATTTGGAACTATAGATTCTGGCTCTTCTGGAAAAACACTTGAGTGCATAGGGAAACTAATGCCACATACGTTGTTTTTAAACCGGGCCAGAATTTATAGTTCCAAATTGAAAAATGTAGTCCAACTGCTAGTGCCACTGGAGAAAGCGCGACAACTTTCGAATGCCTTTTTCCATAATTAGAATCAGAGATAAAATATTCATCCAAAGTTTGAAAGAATTCTGCGCAATTAGAAGAAGAAATAATCTAAGTTAAAGTTGTGTTCGAAGGTTAGGGAAATCGAGGGAATTCGGAAATTTCGCTGTAAAAGCTACCTTTATATATGTAAGTATAAAAGAGGGGGAAAATCCCCTGCAGTTTTAAACTCGTGATGTATTCTATCGCAAGGAGCATTCACCACATCTTTATATTTGTAAAATGTTTGCTCTTCACTTCTCCAAGAGCGATGTTCAGGCCCAGGTTTAAGCGAGATCCGTTTTGCTGTAATATACAAATAGGTATAACTTATTTTATTACAGTTGCGTTGAATTTGCTAATTATCCTTCCCCTACATCGTCTCATCTCGTTCCCTTTCAAAACATAATGTGAAAATTGAATACCAAGATTTTTCTTGAATCAATAAGTTTAAATTATTTCAATCTTCAGTGAAAGAGCCTGCCAATAAAAGGGCCTTTTTGGGAGCGCAATGATTTTGTTCAGACATGTTCTAAACATACATCATGATTAGACAATCCTCCAGTGAAAGTTATAGCTTGAGTTCAAAGCTCCTTTTGACAACACAACAATTCAAAGTGTGACCACCTGTGCCAAGTTTCTTCTCGATTGTTTTACGTCTTTTGGACCGCGTAAAACAGAAAGGAACTAGGCCACATCAGCGTTTGCCACATTTAATTGAGCAATTCTATTTTTTACATGAAAACTGTTGTGCGGATTTTTGTGCATATTTCAGTGAAAATTCTGCATAGTTTGAAGCAAATTCCCTAAAAATTTTAAAGGAATCCGCACAAATATTCTCTCGTAAAAAATTTAATTGCCCGGTTAAATTTGGCAAAAGCTGATGTGGCTTGGTTCCTTTCTGTTAAACTCGGTCCATTTTATAATGTCTGAGACCAAGGAACTAAACAGAGAATGAATCTCAAGGGGGGCTAAAGGACTTCGAAACCACGAAAGTTGATTTCTAGGGTCCATTTCCTCTTCAACTCTCCTGTCTCAAAAAACATAGCCCGACGTAAAATCATCGAGAAAGAGCGCTGTGTCACAACTGATTGCTATAGCTTAGAGTCAACAACAATCTTTTTCTCCGACTAACATCAACTGATGAGGTGATGAAATTACGATCCGTAAAATAAAAAAAGATCGATTAAAATTTTTTGTAACAGAGCAATTTCAGAGTAATTCAATTTTTAATCGAGAACGGGAGAATGAGACTGGGTGCGGCTTCTCGTCCTAATCTCAGTCAACATGAGCAATGCAACCAATGATGTTGATGATACAACTATTCGTACTCTATGGACACGATTGTTGCATACGACAAAATGGAAGGCGCTCCGGTCGCTTTAGTTCTTGAAGCAGTGCGCAAAGCAGCGTGTGGTATGCCGTCCCGAATATGCATGTGGCAAGATGAAATTCTCTGTTAAAAACTAAGGCGAGAGGACAGAAAAAAATGTTTCCGCACAATTTTCACACATCAGTTTACGAAATCCCACCGCCTTCAAATAAGAGGGACTTTTTTTGAGAAACTCGTTCCGATAATTTTTTACGCATCGTCTTTTATATTGGAGTTCATCGGAAAAATTCTACAGAAATTTCTCCAAAATGTTGCTGATGCAACTTTCTTCTTTCTCCTTTCTCGTTAAGCTGGTTATTTTTATATTGGTTTGAGTTCTAGAAAAATTAGAAGACATTTTGAGTAAATGGATTTGAATTTTTGTTTCAGAGAGGGATGCTGCAGGCTGGATGAGCTGAATGGACTTCATTGATCTCGGCAGGAATTCTACGGTAAGACGTAGTCAACCCTCTTTCACAAAGTTTTCCTCGTCCTAGGATAGTTACTAACTCCAAAAATTACATTTTGAGTAGAACCCGACCAAAACATGTAGCTACTTAAATGATATGCCCTCAGTGTAAAAATCTTAATAAAATAATTCAGGAATCAATTCCAACTTAACTTCCGCGTGTTAAAAAAGACGGTTACTTTTATTGAAAAATGTTTATTTTTTAGAGGAAAAATCTTATTATAAACGTTGTTAAAAAGAATCCGAAATATCATTGGATATCTGTTTTGGGAAAATGGCAAAGCTAAGAAGAACTAACTCAAATCTTTGAAAAAAATTGACAGTTTTTCGGTAAAAAAATCGGTAAATTTTTAAAAGTAGAGTTAAAAGTTCAAGGCAGGTCGTCTCGTAAAAATTGTGATAATTAAAAAAATGCTAACAACGATACGATTTATCCTCGCGCAAAAGAAGCGTGCAAAGTCTCCAGCACTGTTGAAAAAGCCTGCAGTGTAACTTGGACAACATGGAAGTGGCAATACGTGTCAATAATTTCTCCATTTCAAGGTGCCTTCAATTCTGCACGAAGCAATCCCACCTCACATTCGCGTCGTGGTAGGTAATTATCACACTAAAAATTGTCGTTTAGGCACACCATGCAAGTTAGGATACATCGTGATTTTTGAGACACTCTCTACGAGTGAGGACACTTATTTTTGCTCTAGCAAATGTTTGCAACAGGCCCATTTTGTTTCCCTCGACAAGATTTTGTCCCTAAAATTTTACGATATTGATGAAGCCCAATTTTCACGAAATTGAGAAGTTACAAAATTTTGGTGGCATCTTTTCTTCAAAATGCCCTGAATTTTTGCAAGAAAGTAATAACATAGTTTTTTGCGAATTTATTGAAGACTTCCTAGAATTTTCATGCGAGCCTTCAGACGATTTTCTCGAAAAAAAAGCGACAAGAGAGAGAAAAAAAAGACCTCCCCCCCTTGCTTAAGAGAACTTTACAGTTGGACGTATTTCTATTAAACGTAACTAAGCTTCAATTTGAGTTCCTTTTGAGGATTTTAAAATCCCGGATAGCGCGTTCTGTCAAGCGGAACTAAGCGCCATGGAAAAGCATTGCGAGTATAGAACGGAATGAGCATAGCGTTCTGCAACACCCGCCAATCCAAGCCCCCCCCCCTTCCTCCCTCTATGGCGCTTAGTTCCGTTTGATAGAAATACGTCCAGTTCACGTATCAGTCCCCGAGTGTGAAAGTTTTTCGGCACTGGAACGACGTAACAGTGAGCGAACAAAATATCTCTCTCTTTGTTTTCACTCGATTGATGTGTTGCAGGAGTTGCAGAGCAGTTGGAGACCGGAAGTGAATCAGAGCATGTAGCCGATGACAAGCTGAGCAGAGCAAGTCGAAAATCAAAATTAAAACTAATCACAAAGCAGAGTATCATGTTGTTTTTCGGGTCGACGATAGGGCTTCTGGTCTCGTTCACTTTCACGACATGCGTTTCCGTTCAGTTCCCGGCCGACGAGGCCCTGGAATCTTCCAACAGCTCGGCCCGCTCGAAGCAGGAGCGACAGTCCAAGGCCTTGCACAGCTACCTGGTCACGTCGCGGCCCTACCAGCTCATCAATACCTCCACCCCCGCCACGGAGCCGAAATGGCGGCGCGAGCTCTACATAACGACGACGCTGGGCGCGGGCACCAACAGCTATGAGCCCGCCGCCGCCAGCTTCTCGGACTGCTCGTCCAACTCTCAGTCGTGCCAAAACCTCAAGCAAGAGGACAGCCCCACGTTCCGCCCCTACTCGCAGGCCGAGCTGGACAAGATCCTCCGGGAGTACCGCGAGAAGAACAAAACCGAGCACCACTCCAAGCTCAACTCCATAGAGCCCCTCTACGGGGCGGCTTCGAACATAATCGCCTCCACGAGCAGCTCCGTGGACACGATCCTCCACGACAAGTCCAAGTCGTACCACCACTCGTCGAACCAGCACAAGAACCCTTACGACGACCGCCAGGGGTGGGTCACCCTCGAGCCGGTGGCCTGGTCCTCGAGCCAGGTCCAGAAGTGGGAGCCGAACCCGAACCGACCCACGTGGCCGGTGCCCTCCGAGGTGGCCCAGTGGAACGGGCCGCCCTCCACGCCGCAGTACGGGGCGCCCTCGCCGGAGCACAGCCCCTGGACGACGGACCGACCCTGGAAGCCGCCCTCCTACCAGTACGGCTCCGGGGGTCGGCCGCCGGTCGTCCAGTCTCACTACACGCCCATCTCCTCCGGGCACCTCCAGTTCGCCTCGAGCAACAACAACTACGGGCCCCCGCACGGCGGCGGAGGCTGGGGCGGCGGCTCCAGCCACCCCGACATCATCACCGACGGCCGACCGGACTTCCCGCCCGACGAGCCCTCCTCCGGCCACAAGCCGTGGGGCGGCTCCCAGTCCTACGGCCCGCCCAAGCCGCACACGCAGGTCGTCTACCAGGGCCCGATCGGCGCTCACGAGAAGCCCTCCTACCCCTCCGAGAACGGCGAGGGCCACTGGGTCCTCCTGTCCAGCACCAAGGGCTATTCCATCCCCCAGCGGCACCGCAACATGGCCCGCTCCATCCGCTTCGACCCCTCCCAGGAGGAGGAGCCGAAGAGAGAGCGAGTCGCCTCCACGCGAAGCGTTCGGCTGGAGGTCCTCCCGCCGCTCAACGGCTCCGAGACCAAGATCACGCATGGAGGAATCCTCGAGGTAGAGAAGACGCATCAGACGGTGGACGAGGCGCACAGGGAGCACGTGGCGCGCTCGCTGAGATTCGCGGTGCCAACGGGGAACGGGACGGTAGAGCGGGTGCCTCGACCTGGTGGACGGGCGGCCAAGGCGACTGCCAGGGCAGACCACGACGCGGACGCCCATGGGCGAGACGTCCGGCTGGCCGCAGTGGGTGGTGGTGTCATCCCTGCGACCATGGCCATGATCCTCCCCGTCATCCTGGCGCGGAAGAAGAGGGCGCCGCGCAGGACTAACCCCGACTTCACCGTCCTTCCCGCGGAGTACGTTTTCGACGGCGCCGACTTGAGGCCGCACAACCAAAGGATCTTACACGTCTATGAATGAAACTAGGCGTCAATCAGGGAAAGGTCGCTCGGAGACAGACAATTAAAGGAGACTGAATTTCCGTGAGGGGTAGCTCTCAGTTATACACGGCCATCATAATGAAAATTGACAAAATTGGCAATCATTTGAGTGAGATACCTACATCAAGAACCGTGAGAAATTCTTTGTTTGAAAATGTTAAAACTTTTATGGGTAAATCGATGTTTATTAAACATACTTGATACTGACGAAAATTTGTAGACATTTTGGACGGTTTAAGAAACGCTTGGGATGCATGTACAAAAAAATTGATCACTCTATGCAATGCCTATCAGCAATTAAGTGACTCCTGAAAATCATCAAGCACCTAGTTCAATCTTTCCTAGTTCTAGTAGATGAAGTACACTACCCGTCATTACAGATTCACTGATAATGTAGTTCAGCTCCTTGCATTTACATTTTAGAAACATTCCTTCCATCTTTTCCCCAATTGACATGCACCTACGACAATACTTCCCCATCCTGAAGAACTCATTTGTTGGAAAAGTGCTTCACGTTTTGATTTTTGGAATTCATTGTTGTCTATTTTATTACTTATACCTATCTAAATGTTTAGAGTGGATAGAGAGCTGTTGGTTGACACGTCAGGTTTGCTAACTCTTTTCTTAGCATTACTTTCAGTTCATTTAGAATCTTTAAGGGAGGAGCTGTCAGAACAACTTCACTCAAAACAATTAAAAACAATTTCAGCCGGAGAAAATTTATTAACTGACACAAAATAGAGCATACGTGTCCATGTTATTTGCAATTCCTTTATTATGAATTTACGATTAATGTCTGAACGACAGCTTTTTATAGAAATTCTGTACAATTTTTTGGGGGGCTTAATATGACACATTTGGCTCAAAATTCTATTGACATAAGAAATATCAGTTGGCAAAAAATCTCCGCCCCCCTTCCTTTCACATATTATGTCTTGATTATGACGATCAACATTGATTATGTCTTTCAGACGCACATGTTCTTCTCATGATACATAATAGGTCAGTATACTGATGAAAAATCGGATTGTACCCTATATTGGGCCTGTCATTCCTACTTTCTCCTCAAAAACGGAAGTTGTTACGGAAGAACACGCCGAGAGAAATGGAAGATGACTGAGCTAGCAAACCTGGTGTGGTTGAAGAAGAAGCTGTACATAATTCAATTCAGAAGGGGGGGGGGCGGCTTGTTATGTTCTGATAAATTTCCTCCGCAGTTTTCATATTCATGAGAGTTAGGAGGTGAAACATCAAAATTCTGACGGATGCAGAAAATGGAGATAATCGGGTAATTTTCTTTCTGTTTCTCCATTGAGATCCATTAAATGAAAATTGAATTTTTTACACAAGGATGCATTTTTTGGCTACCTATTAACTACAACAGCTTAGACTTCCAATACCAGAGTTTAAGCTGAGAATTTCAAACTGATCTTGGTTCAGAAAGTAAAAAACCTTGTTCATTAAAGCCAACAGAAACTTTGTCACATCAGGCAAAAGAAAACTCCTAATGGACTAAACAATGCCTTTCTATCATTACTAATGCTCCTTTTTTACAAACAGGCACTTTATTATAAATAGATGTGACACAACCTGGTTAAGAATCCAATGTACACTAATTTAATTTTAAGGTTTTTGTTTTTATTTATTTTCTTAATTTATTATGTTTTGTTAACTTATTTATATTTGATTGCAAATTAGACTATTATTACTCGTTAAAGTTTTTGTACATTTTACCATTCTCAAGGAGGAAATAAAAAACAGAAAACAATCAAAAATTTACCACGGTCGTTTCACTTTCTTGTTCGTAAGATCCTCATTTACTGGAATGTGATGATTAATACCTCAAACCTATTGAAAATTTGAAAATTTTAACATTACTAGCCCTGACCAAAAAAATGAGCATTTATTCTTCTTTTTTAGAAAATATTTTAAAAAAAGGTTCAACTTTCTTTCTGGGTATTTAAAATATTTTAATCTCTTCACATTCAAGTGCTTTTGTTAGGAGAGAAGCAAAAAGAGCCTCTCAGCATCTTGACAGATTCAGTTATGCAATTCATTTGTGTTCATGACAGAAAAACTCTGTGAAATCACAGGATTAGTTGATTTTTCTCCCTAATCTCTAGAAAGGTGTTCTCTTGTTCTAGAGAAGTTTTGTGATAGGGATCCCAAGTATATTCAAGAATATGTTGTCAATTCATAAAAATTCCTATAAGTATTATGCGCAACACTAAGACTAAACAACTCTAAAGGAGGAATGATTATTAAAGTAAAAATTGAATGAGACCCTGTACTTCATCAGAATTTAAACCTGTGTGTTTTAGCCGCTTTTAGCTTTGCATGTCGAGTCAGAGAAGTTCATACAGTGAGTTAAATGAAAATTTTATTTAAGTGATTGTTCATCTAGTCC